GAGAAAGAATTTAAAAATGAAACAATTTTGCGAAAAACAAATCGATTTATTTTTTGTTTGAACATAAAAATGTCGAAAAAAATAATGTAAGGTTGTTTTTGTGGGGAATAAATGGAAACACGCGGTTATCACACACGTCGAATATTTTGAATGACAGTCACCGATAACATACTATTGTTTATTTCAAACGCATCATAACAGATGCCAACTAAATAAAGGGATATATGAAAAGCTTATTTTGGATAATCGAAAATTAACGTAGAGAAACTGACTGTTATTATGATAGCATTATACAATATTTGGAAAAACAATGCTTTTTAAGGTTTAATTTTCGAATGATTTATTAATTAAAACAAAATGTATTATGTATATCTTTATTACAAAGCACTTACAGACTTGCAGTAATCAAATCGCTCCTGACACTTAAATAAACGACGATGAATGCAAACCCAATTTCTTTTCGAGCTGAATTTTCAAACGGTACTAAACGAGCGGTACAGTCTTGCCTCTTTTGTTAGAACAGCATACAGAAACCAATAAGGGATCTGTCGAAATGTCTGCAGAATAGATGGGAGCTGCGTAAGGGTTGTTTCTGTATCCAATTCACGTCAATTACCTCACTACGAACCGTTCTAAATAAATTTTAAAGATTCAAATGGGTTATTTAACACTATGTAATTGTCTTGTTGAATAGTTCTTCATATACAAGCAACTTCTGTTTTTTATACTTAAATTATAACCAGGAAGTTTCAACAAATTTCGCAAAAGACTAAAATAGTATAACATTTTAGGGCTCGTGACTTTTATCTATTCAGCTTCACAGAACATAGTGAGCGTATACACAAAAACCTATGTGTCAATTGTTTGAATTTCAAATAAAAAATCTTTTCGATATGACCTATATTACTTTCAAGTCTTTGGTTGTGAAATATAAATTAAATTCAACTGCAACTGCACGAAAATGCTTCAAAAAGAAGCGAGACTTTGTCTTTAATTATTTTAGATGGTTCTACAGTAACGAGGAAAGCATATTATATCATAATTATAACTACACATCTTCTTTACTAGGAATTCTTCTTTAAATAATTTGCCATTTAACAATATAACAACTTATAATATTGTTCTAACTTCTTTTATATCTGATGATATTCATTGAGTAGAATTATATTATGTCAAACCTACGATGTTTAGATAAAGTCTTCTATCACATAAAATAGATTAACTCAATTTGAAGCAATATGCATCAATATGAATCAAGTCTGGATTTAGAATCATTTATTTCAACACGACACCAACGCTACGCATCGCTAACAAGTAACTGGAGATAGACTAATGGTAACAGAAAATTTATAAGCATTAGGTACAAGCTATTGAAACATTGAATGCATTCTTATAAAGACATAACATTTACATTATGCAAATGTTTAATCTTATTAAATTAATAGTAACTCACCAATGCTTAGTATATGCAAATTATTGGTGCCAAAGAATTATTTTGCTTAAAAATGACTTTAATTTAACTAAACTGAACAAAATGAGAACCGAAAAGTCAGCTTAAGGATTTAATTATATATTTAGAAATTTACTAATGATATACTTTATTTTGAATATCACCTGATACTTAAGTTATTTTCGATTCTAGATTTATCGCCACTTTTATGATCGTCAAGGGTCGGTAGTTGAAGTAAATTAACGTTATACTGTCTGTTTTATACATTAACATATAATACAAGTACTTACTTAGGTAATATAAATCACTCGCTTCAATTGTCTATCTTGTGTATCAGTAGTAGTTTAAATTGTACTTTAATTTAATTGCACAAAGAAAATCTGTTACATTACTATTATACCAATATATTCATGTTAAAACTTTTGTGAGTTAAGTTCGTATATAATTCTTAGTGTGTGTGTGTGTGTGTGTGTGTGTGTGTATGTGTGTGTGAGCTGAGTATGGCGATAAATATTTTAACTAACTTAAACGATCTTTTCAAAGAGGTTAATTTATTTTATAGTGAACATCATTATTGAAATAATTTTTGGTTTTAGGATATGAATAGCAGTTCATATTTTACACCATACTTCATGGTACGTTTCAGTTACTTTACAACACATAACAATGAACAGGGGAAGACGAGATGTAACTGTCAGTAAATTTTACTTTACGCCTACTTTGTATTCCTACCACAAATTTACACCGTCAAACAAATACTGCTCGTTACTAGATTTCATTCATAAATCTTAGCACACTGTAGTATCTACGTAAGATAACGAATTTTACAGACTAGTAGTAAGGATAGTGGAAATGGAAATAAAAACGAAAGTTTCATCTTTTGACATTATCAAAATATTTATTTGATATCAATGCTATTATTAAATCACCGATCCTTAAGCCATTTACATCTGAAAAATTCGTTAGGTAAGTTCTTTCATTTTTGTGTAGCACATGTATAGAAAGTGTTTTCCTAAAGGATACACGGCACGTTTACTAAGTAAAAAGATGTGTATACTTTGAATACACAGTGATCAGTACACGGTATGACAAAAAGATTCACATGGAACTGAGGGTGTTAATGTGTTAAATACGAAAAACTACATTGTTTTCCCTTTCAACTTCAAATATAAAACATAAAAAAAAACAGTACGAAATGTATCTTGACAATATGGCGATTTTATAAAGACCTAAGAAACAAATAAATATCACCAACTAACAAATTTAAAAACTTAAAACTTACGCTGCCAGTATTAAAGGTTTACATTGACTTAAACCTACAATATTTAAACGAAAACAAAATATATTCTACAGAAGTGTAGTGTTTAAAATATTCTAAATTCGGTATTGAATCATAAATCTAATATTTCAAACGCAAATACACCGTGTAATACATTTGGGAGAGAGAACAAAAACATTTGCCGCAATCCCGCAACAAAGTTTAAGCGTTTTGAAGTTCAACAATAAAGATTGAAGTTCGGTTTAATTGCGAGAAGCGAGTGAAAAAACTTGGATGAACTTAGAACCTTGTTGTTCTTCAGAACAGACGAGTTGCATTAAAATACACTTTGTGTGTTACTAAACAAACGATGAAGGATAACTTATTAGGTGAATTTAAGATGGAACCTTTACTGTGCTGTCTAATAAATAAACTAATGGTTAAAAATTTCCTTTGTTCTTAACACTACATATAACTCACATTAATTCATTCTTGGAACGCACTACGAAGGCAGCCCTAGTAGATTCTCTTCAAATTTGGTTAGGTAGAAAGAGAAGTTTGAACGTTGGAGGTGAGCGTGTGCGTACACCTGGGTCGTAAGTTCCAGGCACTGTTTAAGCTCTTCTCCCTTTAACGATGGACCCGGCACCCTCACGTTAATACATTGAATTCTTAGAGGTCTCGTCGTTTCAACTGCTTAATATTGATTAAAAGAAGCAAATAAATCACAATAGAAGATGATGCTGTCTATTTAAATATTATTTTGTTTCCTCAACTTCGTTTAACAAATATTGTCGAACTACAACAAACATTTACTTGTCTCCAACGTGTTACTGTTAAACAAGAAGAACAAAGACAATTATAGTTTCCATTTAATTTATAGTTTTCATGTTCATCTTTTAAACAACATTCCAGTATATTAGTTTCTACGTTATAAATATGAGTATGTAGAGCAGAAAATTGTTCAAAGACTCTACGTGACTAGCAATTGTGCTTTTTAAAATTAAAAAATGTCTTTTATTTCATTTACTCGTAATATGAAATTTAATAAAAAACGATGAATTTAATATAATCACCAAACATTTTATTTCATTATTTAACTTTTCATATTGAAGCAAATTAACTATGAAATGGTACAAAATTCATGAATTCAGCAATAAACTTTTAACTCGAGTCTGATTCTGAGAATCCAGTTAAAAAGGCTCGGTCAAACTTGGAACACTTCTTCTGGAAACGGAAGAGTTGCATTGCAATTCACTTTGGGTTACCAATTTACAGTTTCTTCAGAAGCTATTGTTTGAAGGTAAGAAACAGCACTACATTTAATAAATATATCAATGAGTGACAGCTATAAAATCTTTGTTCGTTTTTTATGTGCAGTGTAGTTATATTATTTCTGTTAGTCTGCAAAACAGTTATTTCGATTAAATTTATCATATTAGAATATAAAAATATTATTTTTTTATATCGTCACACAACACATAACTATCATATTATTTTATTTTATTCAATGAATGCAATCCTGTGAAAACAACGTCCTTCATTATTTTTCATATAATGAAAATAGCTGTCAATTATAGGAAATTATTTACGTATATTTTTTGCAATATTACCTATGGAGACTAAGATCAAACGAATATTTTACTTTAATTATTACAAACATTACTTGTCGGTAATGTATAAAACAAATATATGTATTTTATTTCGCCCTCATAAAATACAAACACGTTATATTATATAGCATCAGTGTTATACAGGGTGCGCCAGAGAAACTTACTTATTTGAAAGGTCAATAAAAAACAAAGTACTTCAGTTATTGTTTTAATTTTTTTTTTATTTGAGAATACAATATCCCAATTTTTTTTTCATGCAGTCTTAAAAATGACATCGGATAAATGGTGACCCCCATTGCGCATACACTGATGAAGTCGATTTTTGAAATTCGTATCCACTCTTCGCAGCCTATCAATCGGTATGTTGCCAATGGCGTCGCGAATGTTGTTCTTGAGTTGTGCTATGGTCCGTGGTCGATCGACATAAACCAGGGAAATGTGGAAGTGAGCCTCGTCACTGAAAAAAACGACCGCGTCTTCAGGCAGGTTGTCAATCAGCATTTCACTTGCATTGTGACGGGCAACAAAATCGCGTTCAGTTAATTCTTGCACAACAGCCAATTTATAGGGATGAAATTGAAGGTGTTTATGGAGAATTCGTCGAACAGTGGTATCAGAAATTCCCATAGCAGCTGCGTGTTTGCGAGCCGAACGCCGGTGGAACGCACAACTGACTGCCTCACTCTTTCGATATTTTCCGGAGTTCTGATGGTCCGTTGAAGTCCATTTCTGGGTTTAGCGACACTTCCACACTCCCGAAATGAGTTAAACCACGACAGAATCGAATTACGGCCAGTAACGAGTCTGTGAGGAGGAATTTCAAAGCGAGCGCGGAAGGCACGTTGCGTAGTAACAAGTGAGCGACCGTTAGAAAAGAAGCTCTCAACTGCGAAGGCCCGCTGCTCTCTAAACCAGAGCATGATGGCAGCTGACTGGAGGGAGAAACAAACTTGGGAACTTTCCCCTCCAGATGCGCCCCCTCTTGCCCCTCTACCCGCCCAACTCACCGCGCGGTAATTTTTTTAAATAAGTAAGTTTCTCTGGCGCACCCTATAGAAGAAATTCCTATATATTTGTGGCCAAGCTTTTTAGTTAACATTGGAAGTTCATACCTATGTAACCATTTCATTTTCTTTTTGGAAACCATTTTACTAAAGTCGTTTACCGAGACCACTTCAGTATTTATACATTTTTCCTTCTCGATGGAAACTTCCAACAGTTTTTCCATGTTTTCCTCTGTATGCAAATTAACCACTGGTTCGTATACATTTAAGATTATTTCTTTGTTACAACGCGTCGTTTAATCTTAATAGCTATCTCCCAGTTCTCAAATGATAATAAAGATAATTTTAAATTATAAAAATCATATACATTTTTTTATCGTCGGTATAACTACATAAGTATGAAGCATATAATACATGAAACTGGAGATTATTATGTGGGAATCATCGGTGAGAATTGTCTTACCTAAAAACGAATAGGCTTCAACATCCACTAATTCATGAATACAATGCAACTTTAATCACCATCAAAAAAAATCTATTTGAAGGTTTTATCCGGTTTCAATGTGATTTGAGCCTCCCCAACAAGAAAAGTTAGAAGCGTCAAATGTATGCTTATATATCAGTCACGAAATTACTCTAAGACAAGTGACACAGATCGAGTATTGACCTTTTCTTTAAAAATAATTAGGTTTTAATTTTTACCTCCCGTTTGCATCCAACTGAATAGAGAAGTCATAGTATTAATTTATTGAACAAGAAACGAGATACACTTCGTTGAAACCATGTAAACTTATGAAAGTGTTTTAGTTAGTTTAGTTTAAATGTTCTTTTAGGTATTTCCATGAATTAAATTAATTTAATATTAATATTGATGAAAATTTAAATCAATCAATATTTTAAAAGCAAGGAATGAATATAGAGATAACATTAGTTGGTAAGATCATAAATTGTAATTAGCACTTTACATTATTTCTACAAGAATAGTACTAACAACAGTATTTGTGTGTATGTATGCAAACATTCAAAAGAGTAAGTATCTGTATGTGTTACTCTTAAAACCTGAACATAACATTCATGGTCAAAATTTTTAAATTACTTTAGAAGTTTAGAAAATTCTTGAAATTTATATAACACAAATATTTCATTTCATACAATATAAGTCTTTTGTTCTTATAATCTTAAGAGGAGTATTAGCAATCACGACCACAATCAAATCTTAAGATCCTAATTAATAAAAAAAATATGCTTACCTAAATTTATCGCACAGAAGCGAAGACCCCAAAAATAATGTACTACGTAGCAGCCACGTGGCAAAAACATGTATATATATTTTTTCAATAGAAATATTTAACAACTGAAAAACACCATTCAAAAGCATTGTACCACCGACATAAAAGAACTATTGTGTAAATATACGTATATAAATATTGATACGCTTTTATTGTGATTTCAATAATAAGCGAACAGCAACACGGAGAAACAATCTCATGTTACTGTTGTACATTTTTCAGATGAATTTCCATATAATAGTTTACATAATAACATCTATGACGGAAAAACCATATATTTTGAAGCTAAAAAATATTATTCAATAAAAAAACCTTCCCTCTGAAAGTTACAAACAAAAGTTGAAACAAAAAACTCTTCATTTTGTAGCCCGTCCAGACAACTTGGGCCCGAAACTCCATAATTTATTAACTAATCAAGAATCTTCAATAATGATCAGATAAACCCATCAAAACGATTGAAACTTCTTAAACGATTATCAATTTATTGGGAATTGTTTCATTATTTTCTATAGAGATAAATTAATAAAGATTTTTATTTAAAAAAGCATTCTAAACTTATTTGTTTATATTTAAATACTTGCATTTTAATTTTATTATCTTTTAGACTACTAAAAATTAATAAAACTCGCTTGAACTTGACTTCGTAGCTATTAAAAGACACTTATATTATCAAAAGTAAATAAAAGTCCTTTTTCTTCGGACGTGTAATTTGTATTCACGAAGAATTCTTACTAAACAGATGTGATCAAATTTTATATAGGATATAAAATTCCCAAGAAGTTTCATACGCATTAGATCATTCGAACATTAGATCCCAACAGAAACTTACATTTCAGTTACTCCCAGAAGACTGTTAATTTGGCTCGCAATAAATCTATCGCTGTCATATTACGACAACACCCAGAGGAAAATAATGTAAGCGAAATTGAAATGAATTATCACTTTTATATGACTTGGTTACATACATTTTGGTATATGATAAACTTTGTATTTCTATCATAAACATTGATGTGTGATAAATTACCCAAATAATATTTCTGAACTTGTTATGTACGCGTAATATATTTTAAAATTGTATTGACATCGCTGGGGCAATACCGTCGTGGATAAAACCAAATAAATGTATTGGTGCTGCCATCCTAATATCGAATCATCAATATAGGTCGTAAGTTTTATAAATTTATTTTTTATCGAAATATATGTTTATATAGCTTTATAATTTCTCTCCTTCCATTGACTAGCAATCAACCATAATTTGCCCGAAATATTAAAAACTTATTACACGCACATAAAAATATAACCTTTATATATATTTTTAATTAGATCCATAATTACTTAACGTGATTATAACTCAAATAATAAACGTTTCTATTCAATTTACTAGAATATAACAATGCAAATATCTTTACTAAAATCGAATTCAACTCTATTTCTTCTTAGTTAAAATACATAGAATAGTACATTAGAACAGAAACCCAATCAAGGATCTGTCGATATGTCTCTAGGACAGATGGAATCCTGCCAGGGAAGTGACTTTCTTTTTTAAAGTGGATTGTTCCTGTGTAAATCATCAGTTAACTCGATTTCTTTACTTAAAAAAACTTTAAATTTATATTAAAAAATACTTCTAACAAACTTTTGTTTCGTTTGAATTTATTCTCTGTACCAAATTAAAAAACAACTTTCAAGTAATATAATGAAATAATAATGATTAAAAATTAAGTGATTAATAAGGATAAAGACTTTGATTTACGTGATAATACAAAAATATGTATAAATTTACAAATTAGTTAATTATTATAGCCGAATTTGTTAATATTGTGTAGTTTATACATCGTATAGAGGGCAGATTTACGTATTCGGTGAGAAAAGCCAAATTAATAAATTTTATTAAGTATAGACAATTGATATTAATGTAAATATAATATATTTTAAATTAAAATTATAGAAAGATTTTACGAAGTTCAGAAAAAAGTTTCAACTTTTCCATCTTTCAAACTTACCGGTCTTAATTAATTAACAGTGAAATTTCTCTCTGATTCCAAGCGTGAATATTATGTCCATTAACAGATGTAAAATAAAATTATATCCACTTTAATACAAATTCTTGTTAAATATAAATTAAAAATAGAGACAAATAAACAATTCCATTTAATGAAATCATCTGTTCCTTTACATAAAATACAAAACCACATTGTTCTAAATAATTGAATTGCAATATGTATATATTTCTGCACAAATATAACTCGTATCCAGAACTTATCTCATGTCAAAGCTTTGTGTGACATTTACAGATATTCTGTTCAATATTCAAAATATCTGTCTATATTTAGAAGTTAAATAAACATGAATGGTACAATATTCTGACACCGCGGCCAGAAAACGAAATGAATATGTAGAATAAATAATAAATATTGGAATACAACAACTAATAAAGAATTGTATCGTGTTACAAGTATCGCCATCTGTAATCGTACTATATTCCTTAGAATTATTAATTATTTTTATCACTGATTATAATTAATTATAATTCTGAACAATTGTTATTTTGTAATGGCAACATTTAAGTATCAACCTGTATTTTAAAACTATAAACACTGGCTTCAGCCATTTTGTAGGACGTTACTGGAACTAACGCTTAACATTTAAATAAAAATCTGAAAGTGTACCTTGAATATAATACCGTTAAAATAAAAAAAAATATAATACACGCTACAGAGTAATAATATTATTATCCATTTAGAATAAAAGTTTTGGTACGAGAATTTCAATCATTTTTTAAAACGTTTTCACTCCTTTTGGAAGTTTTATCGTAACTTTACTTGTAATCTCTACAAGAATGACAGATTTATATACTTCTAAATATGTACAATTTAAATAATTTATACACTTAATACATTCAGATTTAGTAAGTGAACGGGCGTGAAGCCAAGTTTTGTTACAGTTCAGTAGCGTTATGCTATCGCAAAAACAACAGTTTATGAAGAAACCGACCATTGGTAGCTCAAAGTGAATTTTAATGCAACTCGTCTGTTCACAGAAGAACAACTCTCGAAGTTTCACCGAGCCTTTTTTCACAAGCTTCTTGCAATCAGTTGAAAGTATAATGTTGAATTGCAAAGCGGTTACGCTTTTATCAAGACTAGAAAATACTGTGGCGACTCATTCTTTTTATAGAAATGAACAACGAAATCCTTAGAACGGATATTTATATAAATAATAGGTATTTTAAGAGAAAATCAGTACTTAATCTTCTATATATATAAAAATGGATTGCTGTTCCTTAGTCTCGCTAAAACTCGAGAACGGCTGAACCGATTTGGCTAATTTTAGTCTTGAAATACTTCTGGAAGTCCAGGAAAGGTTTAAAAGGTGAGACAAATTGGAATGATTGCCGGAAAAACCCTAAAAACAGCCCTTTTCTATTTCCCATACAAACGTTTTTTTTTTTTGACATTAGATTTGACAACCAACTAATATGTCAATCATTCTGTTTGATTGAAACAGGAAAAACCTGATCATTTAGGGCCTCTAAGACAGAATAGAGTTCGCCTGGTCAGCTATACCCACATATATTACTCTTGACCAAACTAAAGCGGACGAAGTCGCGGGGAAAAACTAGTCTGCAATATAGATTCCGATAGCCATACATCTTACATACAAATGAACAATAAAATTATATTACTGCAATGTGTCATTCATTAAAATTACTTAATCAACTAAATTAGTCAAACATTGGTTATACAACTTCATTCAAATTGTAAATGATTTGGGTATATATAACAATCCTTACTCATATTTCTTTTCAGTGTTATTTTTTAATTTATTCTCTTTATTTTAATATATTATATATGTATATAAAACTTATTATATATGTGTTAAAAGTTTCGTAAATGACTGCGCGCCTTCATAAGTTATTTGGAAACATTTATTGT